CTGCAGAGACTTTTGACCCTGGCAGACAGCACAGCAGCAGCTTGTGTCCTCTGCTCTCCTCAGCTGAGAGACCAGATGGAGGGCAGGGACCTCAGGGCAGCCACTCTTGGAGGGAGGCAGAGCTCAGGGGCGTGCCAGGGAAAACCCAACTGGGGAGGCAGGTGGAGGATGAAGACCATAAGCTAGAGACTCCCCAAAAAGCCAGGGTTTGGTAGAACCACCCACCAGTCTTGTCCTTTGCAGTTCCTCTGAAACTATCAAGAAGGAAAGGGGCTTCTCTGGGAAAGGCAAACAGCAGGGTACCTCTCAAATGGGCGGCTCACTGAACCATTGCTAAGGTGACACTCGTCCATCCTCTTCAGCATAAGCAAACAAAAGATCACTCTGGGATAAACAGATAACCCCTTGCTGCCCCATAAGCTCCCCTCACCCCGAGATCCCAGCCTGCTAGATGCTGCTTGTCTCAGTGGGGAATAAATAAGCAATAGACATGAGAGTGGAACATGCATGACGACGCCTGCCAAAGTGAGCTCAGGATCTGCTCGGCTTAGAAATTGGCAAGGAGGAAATGAGCTACTCACTGAAAGTGGGGTAGGGAAGATGGCTCGGTCAGCCCCAAACCCTAATCATCAGGGGCACACTTGAGCTGTCTTCAGGACACTGTGCTGGGAAGGGATTTGGCTTTTCCTTGAACTTTCTGGATGAGCAGCAGTTCTAACTTGCTGATGCTCAGAATGCATTCTCCACTCTACCCTGGGAAGCCCAGGAGAACGCGGAGGGTGGCTTCAAGTGCTGATGCCAAAACCACTACCTCCTTGACCATTAGACAAGAGAACATGGGGTTACCCCACAACACAATTTTGGAGGTTTGATCAAAGAGAGAACTTCCTGATTGATTAAAAAGGCAGTTGGGCAACATTATGCCATTAAATGTGAAAATTTAGATAAAATGGGCAAAGTTGTAGAAAAACGCAGATTACCAAAACTGACAAAAGAATAGGAAGCCTGTATAAGGGAGGGGCGCATCACACGCTGGGGTCTGTTGGGGGCTGGGGGGCTAGGGGAGGGATAGCAGGGGGTGGGGAGACTGGGGAGAGATAACATTAGGAGAAATACCTAATGTAGGTGACGAGAGGATGGAGACAGCAGACCACCATGGCATGTGTATGCCTGCCTGACTGACTATGTAAGAGTCTTGCAAGGTCTGCATCTGTACCCCAGAACTTAAAAAAAAAAAACCCTGTATAATCCTATAATGGTGAAAGTAGTTGAATCCTGTTGAGCTTGGTAGCTCATGTCTGTACTGCTAGCACTTTGGGAGGCTGAGGCAGGAGGATTGCTTGAGGCCAGGAGTTCAGGACTAGCCTGCATAGTATAGTGAGACACTGTCTCTACAAAATTAAAAAAAATGTATTGGCTAGGCATCTTGGCACATGCCTGTAGTCCCAGCTTTGGAGACTGAGGTGGGAGGATCACTTGAGCCCAGGAGGTTGGGGCAGCAGTAAGCTATGATCATGCCACTGGGCTCCAGCCTGGAAGACAGAACAAGATCCTGTCTCTCTAAAAAAAAAAAAAAAAAAAAAAAAAAAAAAGAACTTAAATCTTTAATGACAGATCTCTGCACAGAGAATGCCAGGCTCCAATAGCTGCCCTTCCTTTCTTGTTATTGGGCATCTGCTGCCATTCATTTTTCTTTCTTTCTTTTTTTTTTTGAGATGGAGTCTCACTGTGTCGTCCAGGTTGGAGTACAGGGGCACGATCTCGGCTCACTGTAACCTCTGCCTCCCAGATTCAAGCGATTCTCCTACTTCAGCCTCCTAAGTAGCTGGGACTGTAGGCATGTACCACTATGCTAGGCTAATTTTTTTGTAGTTTTAGTAGGGATGGGGTTTCACCATGTTGGTCAGGCTGGTCTCAAACTACTAACCTCAAATAATCTGCCTGCCTTGGCCTCCCAAAGTGCTGGAATTACAGGAGTGAGCCATGGCACCCGGCCATCTGCTACTATTCATAAAGCCAAAGCTTCAATCTGCATCCTCCTCCTTATGCCTATTTTCTGTACATTAAAACTTTGAGATAAGAAGAGTTAGGTCTTAATCTTCCTTCCCCTCAAATCAGAGGAGACATCCTGCAGCACCCTTTTGATAAAAACCTCCCATTTATTTGCAGATTGGAATGGTAATCCAAAGACTTTTCATGATATTATTTATTCAGTCTTTGCATCAAGCATGCCACTTATTTAATCTGCACAAGTGTCCTGCAAGAGAGACACTAGGATCCCTGTCTGAAGCCTGTTCTCTTCCGATGATACTTCCCTGCTGCCCCAGAACAAGCCCACTCGTCCCTCAGGGATAGGAGTGTCATGACTGAGTCCTCCCCACTCTCCACTCCCATCACTAGCCATCAACATCTAGGCCAGAGTTCCAGACTCCTCTGCCTTGATGACAATGCTTGGGAATTTCTTCAGTTGGTCAATGACCTTCTTATACAGTTGTCCCTAGAACTGAACCTGGCGTTGAAAGGTACAGTTGGCTATCCTGGTTGTGTATTGCTAGGTTAGAAATTACCCCAAATTTAGTGGTGTAAAACAACCATTTATTATGTTTATAGATTCTGTGGGTATGGAATTCAGATGGGGTACAGCAGGGAAGCTTTGTCTCTGCTCCACAGAATATGGGCCTCAGTTGGAAGTTTCGAAGTCTGAAGGTGACTCAACTTTTGTGGGCTGGCATCATCAGAAGGCTTGCTTACTCAGGCATCTAGTGAGTGGGGCTGGCTGTCAGCTGGGACTTAGCTGGGACTCTGGGCCAGAATATCTGTGTGTGGCCTGTCTAGAGAGCTTGGGCTTCCTCACAGTATGGCAGCCAGGTTCCCAGGAGAGAGTGACAGGTGAAAGCCACATTACCTCTTAGGATTTAGCTTTGCTGGTTGTGCAGCATGACATTTCTACATTTCACTTGCAAGTCCTGCCCAATTTCAAGAGCAGGGGTGTCAAGATTCTAGCAGGGGTGTCAAGATTCTAGCAGGGGTGTCAAGATTCTAGGTGGCACTGGAGATACTAAGTAAACCTTTTAAGAAAATGTCATGTGGCTCATCTGCCTAACTCAGAGGAAGCTCTCCATGCAGGAGGGCCTGGGAGGCACTCAGGGTGCTAGAACATCATTCATTCAGTCAGCACAAGTGATCAGAGTCTCCCATGTGCCAGCTGCTATCCCCTCATGCCTCTGGTGGTTCACAGCTGCACTGCCTTTCAGCCCCAACCCCACTCAGGTTCCCCCATTGAGGCCTGCCAGATTTGATCAAGATGAGAGAACTTTGGGCTCAATTCTCTCCAGCCTCCTGAGAAAGCTTCTCCCTCTAGGGGCTGCTTTTGAATGGAAGGTTTATACTCCCATTTCTCAAAGGTGTAGGCATGTCAAACAGTTTCTGTTTATTGAAGAATAAAACAATAAGTTATTTTTTATTTATATATAGCTCTTATTTTTTTCCCAAGGGATTAAACAGGGTTCCTCAATTGGAAAGAGGTTCCTGCCCTTCAGTAGGACTTAGAAATGGGAGAATCCCTGTGTGAATTAAGTCACTGTGGTATAGAGAAAGAAGTTGGGGAGCTCCTCTAACCCTTTCTTTAGCACAGGAGCATGGCTTGTACAGCTAGTTCACTGGCTATTAGACTGGAAAGCGTACTGAGTGGGTCAAGACAAGTGGAGGTATAGCTAGCATAATAATCACAATAGGGCTAGGCACTGTAGCTCACACCTGTAATCCCAACACTGTGAAAGACAGAGCTTCGAGGACTGCCTGAGCCCAGGAGTTCAAGATTAGCTAGGAAACATAGTGAGGCTCTATATTTACAAAAAGAACCCGAAATAACAAAATCAGCTGGGCATGGTGGTGCACGCCTGTCATCCCAGCTACTCAGGAGGTTGAGGTGGGAGGATTGCTTGAGCCAGGGAGGTTGGGGCTGCAGTGAGCCAAGTTGGCATCACTGCATTCCAGCCTGGGCAACAGAGCAAGACCCTGTCTCAAAAAGAAAGAAAATAAATAATCACAATAATAACCAATATATATCATATTCTGGGCTCCGAGCATTTTATACAACATTATAAAAATGATATTAGTACCTTTCACCACAACTGTTAGCAGATTAAGTGGAACGAATGAGGAAAGTAATTTCTCTAAGGCCCAGAGTCATTAAGTAATTGCCCAAGAGCACACAGATAAGACGTGGTAGAATTGGGATTTGAATCCAGGCCCATAGCCCAGAGCCTGACCTCTTAACATTGGGTCCTGATATGCAGCTAGCAGGCCTAAGAGCTTAAAGGGAGGGGTGGGAATAGGAATACAGCAGGTGAGGCACACAGACTCTGGGTGTTGGGTCTCTCTTGGTTAGACACCAAAGACTCATTTTGCAGCCTGAGTCTTCTCATCTGGAAATGGGGATGATATCTACTCTAGTGAGTTATATAAGGCACTAGCACAGCACTCCAGACCCAGTGGGTGCTCAGTGCACTATTAGGGAGTCCCTTTCCTTTTCTCCCCTGGGCTGCTCTATGGAGAGAACTTTCCTGCCCAGGGAACAGGGAGATTGGCCAGGATGACTTCGTTATCTGTGGCAACTGTTAGGGAACCCTGGTTCCCTAAGCTTCTGCTGGATGTCAGCATTCCAGTCCCTCTCCGCTGTGCTTTTCATTGGCAGAACTTTAAATGATTTTATAAAAACTGCAAATGTACAAGGTAATTGAGTCTTTTGTTTTATTACCCTGAGCTGCCTGGACCTTGCCCGGCCTCCTCCTCACTCACTGAGCTGCCGGAATAAAGTTGGAAGTGTTTGCGCTGGTAATATATAGGACTTAATTAACCTGGCCTTTTATAGCATTTCCAATGGAGGGTTGGAACGAACTTCGAGGCAGCTTGAGAAAGGGAAAGGGGGGGCCTGGGGTGAGAGTGTGTATGTACATACAACACTTGATGTTGGTTTTTTCTTCTGTTCTTTTCTCCAGTACTTTAATCAGCATTTAATGACCCAGTCGAAAATTCATCGTTTGGACCCAAGCACTGGTGGGAAGGCAGGAGGAGAGGCCTGCCTGCCTGCCTTGCTCCCTCCCTCCTGAGCCCTACAGCAGGCCATGGAGTGGTCAGTGAGTTTTTACTGTGCCAGCCACATTCCCAGAAACTTCCAGCAGAGGTTAACCCTGCTCCTCTCAGGTAGGAGACAATGAATGGACATTAACAAATGGACTCCCTGTGTTGGCTAATGCCACTCCCTACTCAAATGCAGAGCAACCTAGGATTCATGTCCAATGGCTCATGTCCTAATTCCCGGGCCCTAAGGCTGTGTTAATGTGCTATCCTGCCTGCCCCTTCGTCCCTCCCCTCCCAACATGAAGCCATGCCTGAACTGGACACCCTTCCACACCAACCCAGGAAAAAGTAATTCAACTCCAGTCCACCCTGGGTGCAGCAGTCCTTCTGCCAAGATGTCTTCATGCCGTATAGCTATTATTTTCGGGAGGATTCCAAGTGAGGGCAGTCAGGGTAAGTGCCTCTCACCAGCTGCCTGCTCAGACCATTGCTCCACATACCCTAGCTCATAAATCCTGCCCCAACACTGCTGAGTGGTTACATCATCCCCAAACCTCATGCAACAATTCGATTTGGAAATAAAAAGGCAGGTGTTAATTGACTCACTCCTTCTGCCCCTTTGTGGTGCCCTGACCCTCGATAGCTTTTAACCTTGCAGTTAATAAAAGTTTTGGGCCCAGCCCTAGCACAGTTCCTCATTCATTCTTTCATAATGTCAGCAGATTCTTCCTGAGTGAGTGTAATGCACAAGTCATTGGCCAGAGCCTTAGGGAAGAGGGTTAGGTGGCTAAAGATGAGCAAGAAGCATTTCAAGCATTTCATGCCTTAGGAAAGCCTACAGAGGATGCTCACAAATAACACAGATTTGGGCAGCAGTGCTGTAGGGTTCCAGAGAAGGCCTGGGGCAGCCAGAGTTTTAGAAGCATCTCCAGCTCTTGAGTTTGTCTGTTCAGCATCCATCCCTCCTCCAAGAGCACCCAGATTCTCCTTTGGAGAACCCACATCTCTCATTAAATCTATGTGGTTCCAAGTGGGGTTGAATGTCTGGGGTCCCCAGGAGTCAGCCCAAGAGTAGAGCTGGCCATTCAGGGCAGGTTAGCCCCCAGCCACAGTGATCAGTTCAGCCATGGGCATGAGACTTGGGCTGGGCCAGTGAAAGCTATTGATGCAGCTCCTGGGAAGGACGAGCTCTCTTTTTCCACTGGAACTGGCCAGAAGTAAGCCTGGAGCTGCTAGCAACCATCCTGCCCTCACTCGGGAGAGGCTTCATGAACCTGAGAATGAAACCCATCACTTCATTTGCCCCCGAGGGACAGCCTCTAACTTCAGGCCCCTACTGTCTCCTACCCCATAATGAGAAGCTCTTGGTTTTTAGGTGTGTTTATTACCCAGGCCCAAGAAACTCTCTGTCTCCCTTCAACTAGTCTGTGCCCAAGCAGAATATGAAGGAAAGCAGAGCTGAGAAATGAAAAGGAAAAGATGGTTAAAGATGTTGGGTAGCTGGATCCACCCCTGCCGAAGGTTTCTTAACCTGAACTTTCACTCCTCAACTCAAGGGTGGGCTAAGGAAACATGTTTTTTTCTGTTGTTGTTGTTGTTATTTTCACTTTCCTGCTTGTGATAGAGTTAGTGAAGTTCAGGGTCGGGGGTTGACAATGCATCATTTGGGGGTCCCTTGTTTTTAAGGTTTGCACTTGTGTGACTCTGAAAGTGAGTGCCTTCTTAAATTTTGTACCCTAGGTGCCTCTCTCTTTTCCCTATTCCTGGCCCTGCTTAGGTTGCTGGAGGTCCACCCCTGTCTGTCCCTGAACCCAGCCTGAAGAATTCAGAGTTAATCGCTATTGTCTTTCTTCCCCCACAGGTAGGCTTGGCCCATTCTCTAGACCTTGGAAGATAATGTTCCATAGAGGCTTGTTCTGAGGCTTTACCAGGACAAACCAGAGAAGAACCAAGCAATGTAACTCATCCCAGCCTAACTATCCTTCAAGGGCAATCAACCTACAGCATCCAAGCACAGAGAAATCAAATCCATGGAGAATCTTTCAGTTAGGCTCAGAATTTATTTGGGACACTGGATTCACTGTTCTCAAGATCTTAGTTGTATTCATCCATGATTTGACCTACTTTAGAGTGAGAAGATAGTCTTCCTGGGCTCAGACTAGTTGAAGGTAAGGAGACAGGCCACTGGGTGTGGGGAGACCTCTCGTGGGATAATACACACACAAAACCAAGAGATGCTCACTGTGGTGCAGGAGACAGCAGGGGCCTGAAGCCAGAGGTTCTCTCTGTGTCCTTGAATACACTTTACTCCTCTGACCCCTTACTGTGATTTGGAGAGAGACAGTATAGGATGGCCTCTGCAGGCAGGGAGGTCTGGTTATGGTCCCAGCTCTTCCTAAATTGGGTAAGACTCATTCTGAGACTTAGTTTCCTCTATCATCTCTCAATAGAACCATAAAGGTACTTTCTTCTTAGTATTGTTTTAAAATTCAGTAAAATAATAAAGGCTTAGCACAGGGTCTGATATAAATTTTCAATGAATTATTGTTGTCAATATTGTTCTAGAAAACAAGAGAGCATATTAGAAGATCAAAAGTACTGCCAATCGCTGAAGTGCCAATTCTAGATCCAGTCTCAGCCTTTTGAGAACTGATATCATTGTTTTCAAGCCATTCAAAAACCAATGTGAATTGAACACCTAGTATGAGCCCTCTGGGGGAAGAGCCAAGTCCTGCATTTTTTATCTTAAGGGGTCTTCAGTAACTCTCGCCCACAACAGTATCTCCATTAGGATTCCTCTCTGATAGTGTTCATTTCTTTTTTCTCAATGGATGCCTTAAAAAAAAAATCCTTGAAGAAAACCTGTACTCCTCAAATATACCACTCAGGAAACCTGTTCTCCTCAATGGTCACTCAGGTGACCATTAAATCATTTACATGTTAATTTCTTTTCAGATATGTGTCTTTTTCCCTAGTTACATAATGAGAACCTTGAAGGCAGGGACAGATCTTAGACTTCCTGATGCCCCCATACATCCAGGTACAGAGTAGGTCCCTGGACATCCGTATAAGGCCCATGAGCCTGATAACTGCCCAGGTAGGTACTGTGTGCCTGGGCCTGGGAAGGACAAAAGAAAGGGCACTAAAGGGGTTCCTGGGAATGAAGAGGCCCTCTGACTTTAGAAGGGAGCCCATACACTTTTTGGACTGGAACAATCAGAAAGTTCTTTCTGGAGCAGCAGCAGCCAGAAAGACCTGGGGCACTGGGTCGACCAAAGCCCTTCCCAAGGCTGCAGTGGCCCCAGCCAGTTAGCCCAGCCTCCCTACCAGCCCCAGGGCTGCAACTGAACAGTGCTGGCCTCTTAATAAAAACAGCACCAAAGCAAAGCCCTAACTTCACTGGAGAAATAGCCCTGCGCCCTTCCATCCATTAACATTTTGCACCTTAATGCAGCCATATTTTTGGAAAGCCAATTCATATTGGCTGAGAAGCTTATTAGTATGCAGCTCTGGTTAGGGGTGGGGGATCCTGGGAGGGGGGCACTCTGCAAAGGGGATGTAATTAAGCCTCAGAATGGTCGATATATACACCAAAAGGGGGGGCGGTACTTGGGGGACCTAGAGCAAGACTGATGGGCTTGTCCAAAAGGTTTGTGTGTATGAAGGCTTGACCGTTTCTGGGAAGTCCCACCGTGACTGCCACCCTTGCTCACCCCTGGCCCCCACCAGAGCAGGGCCACCCACTCACCCTTTGGGTGTCTAACTTCGAATTTCCCAAGCAGACCCTATCGGGCAGCTCTTCTAAAATAAAATACATCATCATTTGCTCCATTAGAAAATAAATGTATGGCTATATTATGGGATTTGCATTCCATTACCTTGGTTTGCATGCCATAAAACATTTATTACACCCTTGGGCTAAAGTCTTAATAATGACTGGGTGTGAGGCACTAATGTGGTGCTGGTCTTGCTCAGGAACCAGAGATTAATGCCTTTTGATGTCACTCAGCTAATAGTTGTGCTCACCAATTTGTCCCATCAGAAGACATTAGAGTCAGGCCCTGTGCAAGGGTGGGGGAACCACTGCTCAGCTTCAGCTGGGAATCGAGGCTCTCTGTTCAAAACTGCCGGAATGAAATCTCAGAGTTCCCCCTCTTCAATCCCCCATCTACTTCTACCCCCGCCCCAGCCCTGGCCAAGTCCCCACCCCTGGGTGTGAAAACTACAAAAAGAGGTTTAAATGTCTGCCCTCCTGTCAGACAGCGGCGGAGGTGGCAGCAGTCATGGGTGGGCATGGATATGTGTGTACGTGCATACATACACCACACACACACACACTCCTCCCTTCCCTGTTAAGGAATTGCTTCACCAGGCCTGCCTCATTCAGCTACGGAAGCCCAGCAGCTCAGTAGAGGAGGCTCCAGTGCAACTTGACTCCGCAGTTAGACCTAGTCACAGCCCCCAGCCCAGGAGACAGGCCCAGGATGGCGCCGAGCAGACCCTTTGGGGCTGTATTGTGGGTCTTTCATGTCATCAGATGACTTGGTTGGAGCAGCCCTGTGGCCAGGCCTTGGGAAATGTCCTCTTGTGGGTTGCTATGATTCTCTGTAGGGTCCTGGTGCATTCTTCTCAGAGACTAGAGATCTCCCCACTTCTTTTGCTCAAAGCCATGGCCGGGAAGTGGCCAGTTACTTAACCCTTCTGTCTCTGTTTCTCCACGTGGAAGTGCTGGCATTTAGTGTATATGTGTGTGATGTGTGTCCATGAGCCAGGGGTGCTGTCTGGATCCTGCAAATGTGTAGGACAGTTTCGCCCAGTGAATAATTCTCCCACATTCCATACAACTTTTTAAGTGCCCACCCAGGTCGCTGTGTACTCCACTTCCGTGATGCAGTAAATGGCTGTGCAATGCACAATCTATACAACCATCAGAGAGGTCCTAGGTTTGACAGTCATCCCAGTGGAAAAACCTGTTTACAGTGACCAGAGCTCTAAATCTTACTGTTTTACATATAAGCATGGAGTATTTTTGCATGGCTCTAATGCACACTGGATTTTCTAGGACTGAAACTCTTGTGGCAATTGAGAAGGAAATTGTCCTCTGTTCTGCACAGATCCTTACCAAGCATTGTGCACCATTTCAGAAACCACCATTCATGTAGCCATTCTGTGGCCCTTAAGTCAACAGGACACTGCCCTGTGGCAGGCGGCAGTGACAGCAGTTCCACTGTGTGGTTTTGTCTTTAGGTGCAAGCATTCTACTTTTTAAATTATTCCTGAGCATTTACATATTGAAATATATATTTAATTATAACTTACTTTCCTTTGATTTCTCCTTTATCTTACAGCTGGGTCAATATATTGATTTTTTAAAAAATTCCGTGGATAGGTTTCTTATGTTATCTCTGCTTTCCATTCTGAGATAGTAAATGGGGTGTGACAAACCTGGTAATAAAAGAAAGCTGTGGGTCTGATGGGCTGGGTGCTGAAGCCAGAGAATTCTAGCCTCAACATCTCTAGGAAGCCTTTTCTGACCACTTTTACACCACGTTCCCACCCAAAGCCTGCTTTCCTTCCTCCCTGAAATGAAGTGCTTTATAATGCCTACTTTCTCTTTTTTTTTCCTTGATCATCCCAGGGACAATCATCTCAACTGTGCCCCAAGAAACATGAAAGCTCACCAAGGACAGCTTTGAAGTGGTCACTGTTCATGGCCCTGACTGGGCCCTGGAGTAAAGGACACCAGCTTGGCGTGCTGAACTGAAATACATGAATCTGGCGGTGATAGGGCCCCCTGGGAGCAGAAACCAGAGACAGGCACCCACAGCAAAGGAATGCAAAGTCCAGAAAGCCCCATCAGTCAGCCTGAGAGGGCTGGGGCAAAATAGAGGGCCTCAAGACTCCAGAAGAGGCGTTTCATAAGTCTCATCAAATTAAAGACTAATTAGAAAAAAAATTCATGGGAAATCATTGAAAAACAAGTAAACCATCCAAAGCCTGAGGTTGTTTAAAAACAGTTTATTGGAAGTCCAAAGACCAGACAAGTTGAGGAATGAAGAAAACATCTTATGTGGTGAGATGGTGATTTTGAAGCGACTTCTGTGGCAAAAAGGCATCCTTTGCAAATGGGAAGATTGGCCAAGCTCAGAGAACAGGGTTTAGGTAAGTTAATGGATGATAGCACCATAAAAGGTTATTAAGGGGAACCTGGCTGTGCTTAGGAGCTGCACTTGTGATATCTGGGGGATGACTGCACATTCCCAAGGCAGAATCCTTGTGTCCTAACCTGAGACAGACAATGGGCCCAGAACCCAGAAAGGAGGAGGCACTACTGGGTCTCTGGTTATTTCTATGGGTCCTCCATATGGATGTGATAGTCCACTTCAATTTTTCTTTTTTTTGAGGCGGAGTCTTGCTCTGTCACCAGACTGGAGTGCAGTGGTGCGATCTCGGCTCACTGCAACCTCCACCTCCAGGTTCAAGCGATTCCCCTGCCTCAGCCTCCCGAGTAGCTGGTACTACAGGCATGTCCCACCACGCCTGGCTAATTTTTTTTTGTTTTAGTAGAGATGGGGTTTCACCATATTGGCCAGGATTGTCTTGATCTCCTGACCTTGTGATCCATCCTGCTTCGCCTCCCAAAGTGCTGGGATTATAGGCATGAGCCACCACACCTGGCCTCAATTTTTCAAAGAAAGGAAAAGGAAAAATGCTCAGACTCATGCTGCATTTTTGGAAAGTCGATTTTTAAATGTGTCTGTATTTCAGGTTAGAAGAGTTATGAAAGAAAACGCAGGAGAAGCATAGCGGATAGCCTTCATCACTGGGTTCCAGACACTGCTTGAGTTCATGTCCTAGCCCCACCACTGCATAGCTGGGTGACCTTAAGCAAGTTCCTTAACCTCTCTGTGCTTCAGTTTTCTCCCCTCTGGAATGGGGTAATATTACTTTGCTGGCTTATGAAAATGAAATGAGTTAATATGGTAGATGCTTAGAATAGTGCATGGCCTATGGTGAGTGCTCAATAAGTGTCTGCTTACGTTGTTGTTACTCTCAAGAAAAGGGCCAAGTTGCATTAGTTCCCACTCCCTTCCTGCTGATTAACCAATGAAGGGTGGCTTTGGGAACATAAGAGCTGAGTCAGGGCAGGCATATGTGCCTCTTACTTTCCTGGAGGAGCCCCAGTGAGGAGGTCAAGTGCCCTGGTCCTGATTCTAAATCCACTGTTTAGAGTAGCAAGTCTATTTGAAGTAGAGATTACCCCTTTGGCTGCAAAGATTCAGCTAGGTAGGGGACAAGGAGTGACTGTGTCACTATAAAGTTATCTACATAGGTAATCTGTGCCTCCCAAAACATTTTGATTAGAGAACATTGTGCTTAGGAGGGATGCTCCCTGTAGGCCATGGGAGCAAATTGGTTTGAGCTCTTTTGTATATACCATTGCTTGAGAACAGCTGTGGGCTATATCCTATTGGGGATTCTGAATCCACATCTGGATGTCCGGGAAAGGGTGCCAAGATCAAATAGTTAGTGATGCAGGCTAAGAACACAGGATACAGAAGTGTCAGCACTGGCTGGAGAGTAAAAAACCCTGTCTGCCCATAATAGCCTGGCCAGAGGTAACCTGTGTTCCTAGATGTGGCATCCACATCCCGAGCAATGGTAAGGCAGGATGGTGATTGCTTGCTACCAAAAGGCAGGCAACATGACTTCTCAGCTGTCCTCCACCAGGCCTGGGGGCCATGGGAGCTTCACCCCACTTAACCTCTCTGCCTCTCTGTCCCCACATGTAAGTGCCTCAGAGGGACATCCAAGGAGTACTGGGGAAATTGCAGGATGTTTGAACTGTACGAGGTCCTGGAGGTTGTACACACACAGTGCCCCAAGGCCTTTGCCCTTACCATGTCTGTGCTCTGAGCCTGATTCCAGCCACCAGCATCTGCAGTTCTTTGCCTGAGCTTTCTCTAGCCACTGGTGTGCCTTTACAAGGCAGGTTGGAAGCAGTCCTCAACCAGTGACCAACAGGATTGTTGTGTAAATATCCTAGCTCCTTCATCCCATGGATGAGATAACTCTGAGCTGTATGTTCTACAGTGTCTCCCAAAGTTTCCCAATGGGAGAGAGGTCCAGGTCCCTTTACTGCTAGCTTGCTTAATAATGTACCTCTTTCTGGCTCCTCTCCTTTCCTGATTCACTTCTTCACTCCTGGGGTCACCTCCCAAATCCTTATCTCAGAATCTGCTTCTGCCAAACTAAGGCAGAGTTAGCTGGCTGCACCACTTTGCAATCTGAAGCACAACACACTTGCCCACCAGAAAGGTCCTATATGTATCTACCTGGCTACGTATCCACCTAGCAAGGCCTACACACAGCCCAGAAAGAATCAGAACATTTGCATCTTTAGAAAGAAGTTTCCTCCCCCAGCTCAGGAAATTGTCCCTCTACCCACCACCCAGAAAATCTTGTAACCTGTGATGAGATCTCCCTCTCTGGTTCTCTCTCAGCAGCCGTCTGTTCCTAACAACCCCACCCACGCACCGGAGCTTCTCTGACTTGATATTGCAGGATGCTGTCACTTGAAATTAATTGCAACTAATTAAAAATGATCCGGTTAGGACAATTGCACAATGGCGCTCCGGAGACTGCTTCATTCCCAGAGGTTTGGTGGCGTTTGCGGCTGCTGCAACCCTGGTCTGCTGGACGGGGCCATACATCATTGTGTCATTTTACATTGTTATTTCTCTGAAAGCAGCAATTTAAAAGAGTCTCAGATGAACCTTGAGCAGCTTCGTGCTAAAAAGAAAAATGTTACTGTCCAAGATCTGTAAAATATAACATATAGGCTCAAAGAAGCCTCTTGACATGAAAAGCGGCCCTAAGTTTGTGCCGCGATTTGCATATAATATATAATGTTGTAGTAAAAGGACCCACAAAGCAGAAGGCAGCTATGGAGCATCGATCCTCATCCCCTTTGTTCAAACTGGGTCACCTACTGTCCCTGGTTATTATTTTATCACAGCCATTCCTCATGTAAGGTGACAGGACAGCATCTAACCTACTGGGTTCCAGGGACTGACACACCTCCCCCTTATTTAGTAGAAGACCCAAGGGTCCTTCTTGGCTCTGATTCTGAAAGCATTGCAGGTCCTACTTCGTCCTGCCATTTTCCAAGCCGATCCCAGGAGCAGTAGTCCTGTTAGGAAGAGGCATTTATTGGACTTGGGGAAGGCCCAGTAAACCTCGAGTTAGGGCACTGAACCTCGATAAGCATACAGAATGCCCCCATACCTCACTAGGAGGGAGTTCAGGCAGTTCAAATGAATTCCGGCCCTAAGTTCTTGAGCTACAAATCATTCTTAGGCTACCTGCTGCCCCGTCTAGCTGTGTGGTCTCCATGGTGCCCTTCAAACCTCTCCACATCAACAGGACAGGAGAGAAGCAGGCATTTGAGCAGAAAGGGGTATGTCCCAAAAGCATCTTCCAGGCCGGGCGCGGTGGCTCACGCCTGTAATCCCAGCACTTTGGGAGGCCGAGGCGGGTGGATCACGAGGTCAAGAGATCGAGACCATCCTGGTCAACATGGTGAAACCCCGTCTCTACTAAAAATACAAAAAATTAGCTGGGCATGGTGGCACGTGCTTGTAATCCCAGCTACTCAGGAGGCTGAGGCAGGAGAATTGCCTGAACCCAGGAGGCGGAGGTTGCGGTGAGCCGAGATCGTGCCATTGCACTCCAGCCTGGGTAACGAGCGAAACTCCGTCTCAAAAATAAAAAAAAAAAGCATCTTCCAAAATTATTCTTCTAATCCCCTGGCTCATTCTGCAACTTTAAAAAATGAGCTGATTTTCAAGGGTACCAATAAGAATAACAAATCTCTGCAAAATAGAAAGGTTCAAAAATAAAAAATCAATATCTTTAAAATTAAAGGTCCAGGAAAAGAAAGGGCTAGACAGAAGAGATGAAAGGATTAAGAATAGTAAAGAGATATGCAGATAAATCTTATGTAATTACCAAAATTTGACTCTGGACTTCCTGGAGGCCAAAGCAAAGAAGGAAAATAAGACATATGATTAATTACAAGTGTTACACATTTTAAAAGAAAAAGCAGACCAGCTCCTTAACAGAATCAAGGTTCTTTTGCATTGACCTCATGTGGGTCATGTACCTGACATCGCCCTCCACACACCCTCATACTTCAGGCAGGGGTGAGGCTCGTGGAGATCCCTGCATTGGACATGGATGACCTGGCAAGCCAACTCTCTTGGAAATCCAGGAGATTTGCATCAAATATATGGTTCACTAATGGATGGTTTCATTCAGGGGTGAGATTTTAATACTGGAAAAGTGCAAGGACTAACTCCAACCTGA